ACCACTTAGAAAGATGATCAAGGTTAAGAGAAAAATATGGTACTCCAAAAGAAGGGGGGACACAAATATTACTTGATACAAATCAACACCAACTTGGTACCTCAAGTTATACACTCTACGTGGAAAATATTGTATACAGTACAAAACATGAACATATTAGGCTCACTATCCAAAATTGTATTCAAAAGACAAGTCTATCGTTAATCACAAGAATCTGAATTTTAAACTACAGGAAATTTCCTGTTTTTATATTTTGTTAGCTTACAATCACTGCACGATAGGGGCCATGAATTATTAATGTAACCGAATACAATTTACGCAGTAATCCTCTATCACTGTGCATCTGGCTTTGTGTTTAAAGGAAGGTGGTTGCGCTCCATCAGCCCAACAAATTAGGCAGAAAAAGGCGGAAACAACGGAAGTCACGTACACAAGGGCTCTTTCACTTTCAAGTCAGCGAGCTTTCAGGCTTGTCACGTTAAGCTCAAGTTTCTGAGCATGGACTTGCCAACTGAAACCTGCTTTATTGAGAGCAATGCAGAAAAAAAGCCTAAATGATTTCAAACTTAGGGACCGGATACAATAAATCGTAGGATAAAGATCTGGGTTGAGTAAGTGTATTCTTTACAAAGCAGGCTGAGAGAGCTTGCCAGGCGACACTAAAAAGACAGAAATTAGAACTAAAGAATAAATGAACTGCGATTTCTAGTCGCTGTCCCACGTTGGTTCCTTAATCAGGAATCTTAGCTTTCTCTCATCAAATCTATAGTTTCTCTAAGGACTCAATCAGCGACGTCCCTTGTACTGTTTTGGGGAAGAAAAGTGTTGATTTAAGTTTAAACTGAGTCCATAACATCGAGAAAAAATGTTACTGTCAGCTGTGGGAAACAAAACCAGCGTCCTTCTACCTGTTCTTTTTAAGAGTGAGAGGGTCATATTTCATGCACAACAGGCTGTCAAATAAGACTTTTCCAACTTCTACCGAGTTCCAAAGACGCCAAGACCGCTTTTCAAAACAGAAGAGCTTCGTGTAACGCTTAAGCGAGTTAGTTGAACAAAATGAAGACAAGGAGCGAGCCAACTGGTCAAGTTTAAGCGGACGTAGCGCTAAGGTCTGGTGCGGAGCACATTTCGGTCGGAGGCGGCCAAGGGGAGACGGGGAGAGTCGGCCTCGGGGAGGGTGAGCCGGAGCCCCGGGAGCCGCCGGCGCCGAGCTGAGGACGAGCCGCGTCCCGGACAGCCGAGCTCCCGCCGATCAGGTCTTCTGGGTCGGAAGCCGTGGCGGGTGCCCGGCGCAGAGCCAGCCTGCAGCCCTAGCAGCGGGTCCGGGGTCCGCTCCGGGTCAGCCCGTGGGTCGCCGCCGGCTCCCTCTGCGGCTCGGCAGACCTGGGAAACCCGGAGTCCGGTCGTGCCGCGCTGCCCGCCTGCCCGCCCGGTTTCCCTCCCTCCCTCCCTCCCTTCGGCCGGCCGGGCTCCGCTCCGCCTCCTTCCTCCGCCTCTTGCTCCTGCGTCGCCGGCTCTTAGGTCTCTAGGTCCGGGGGGCAGACGCACAACTTACCCGCTGCGATGAGATTTACGTAGCGAACCTCGTCACTGATTACGGACGGGAGGAGGTGGAGACGCCGAGCCGGACCCGCCGCTCAGGAGCGGCGCCACCGCCCAGCAAGCCGGCGCCGGCGCCGGCGGTGGCCCCACGTCGTCCCCACGTCAGCTCTGATGTGGCAGCCGCGGCTTCCTCGCTGAGCCCAGACGAAATGTAGCGCACAAGGCGACACAACCGCGTCCTCGCGCCCTGCCCTCCCCTCCCCCACGCCGCGACTCCCTCCCGGGGGAACGCCCTGCGGAAAAATCCAAACTCTAACTCCGCCCCCTGTCGGTCACCAGCGGGAGTGCGGCGCTGACAATCCAACAATTAAATGGAACGGGGGGGGGGGAGGAGGGGAAAGACTGAGGTCGGGGGAGGGGCGGAATAAACTGGGGGCTGTGCTGGAAGAAGGAACCACGCTGGGGCGGAGCAAAGAAAAAAAAACAAAACCCACAGACCCGGCGAGGGGGCGGGGCCTAAAGTGGACAAGGCCAGAAACCGGAAACTTCCCCACCTGCGGGCGCGGGCTTCCGGATAGTCTTTTAATTGCAGGCTGTCCTAACAGACGTCAGTGTCGCGAGGTGGTTCCTTTTCTGGACCACGAAGTAGTGCAGTCCCAGCCCCAAGCAATATCCATGAGTATTCGGGCTCGATCTTAACAGAGAGGCTCATCCTGCGGACCACTGGGCCTGGCTCGAGTGGTCTTTAGGAGCTATCCCACCTCCCTCGTCTCCTGTCCCGTCCACAGTACTGAGAGAGGGAGGGTATACAGCGGGTCACTCAATACCTTTGTGCCTACCCCAATGCAGCGTCCCGGTGACTTTGGCACGTATATAACATTCCGAGTTATAACACTCGGAAAGCGGAGACTTTTTACAGTATCAGTTTATGTTGGAATACAGAATCACTTAAAAAGCGGTGTTCAGAATTGATAAATTATGCTACATCGTTTATGTTCAGAAATGATACCTTTTGGAGGAGTAGGGCACAGATAATTCTTGGTGTGAGATGCCATGCCCACCAAGATTGAAGTTTTCAGCAAGTTCGTTTTGCTGGATCCACAATCAATACCCGTGTACTCTAGAAGTCAAAAGACATGTTGTATTGGAGAGACATCTCTACAGTGCTAAAAAAGCAAAAATGTTAAAGATGAAAATGAACTTGATACAAGCCATAGTACTTTAAAATGCTTCATATACATTTGAACGTTGGACAGTGACTAGGGTAAATAGAAAAAGAATCAATACCTTTGAACTGTAATGTTGGTGCAGAATATTAAATGTACCACATACTGCCAAAAGAGCAAATCTGTCTGACAAGAAATGCAGCCAGGGTGCTCCTTAGAGACAAGGATAGTGAAACTTTGTCTCACATATTTTGGGCAAGTTGTCAGAAGGGGTTAGTCCTTGGAAAAAGACATCGTGCTGGGAAAGATCGAGGCTCTCAGGTTTTGTGGAAGAGACGTAGACCTCAGTGAGATGGATTAATATGGTAACTGCAACAATGGACTCAAGCATGATGGAGGTCATGATGATAATGAAAGATAGGGCAAGGTTCAGGTCCTCAGAGATGTGTTCTGAGTTGTAGTCAACTTGACAGCACCTAACAACAACTCATCTTTTTGTCATGAGCTGTAATGGTGGAGACAGATCTAGGTGTGAATCTAGGCATTTTCATTGTAGACAGATTTCCTATCTTCTTAGACCCTGAGTTAAGTTAGGCAGTTATCTACTAAACTAAAGATACTATGTGTTAGAGAGTTGGAACAGACTCATAGCCGACCCTCCAATGGCTTTTCAGAGGCCAGTTAGTCATATGGGAGGAGACTACCCATCCTTTTCCTGTTGAGCAGCTGTTGGGTTGGACTGTGTGCCTTTGGGATTGACAGGTAGGTCAACTGTAAGAAAAAGTGCCTCCTAAGAAAGGGAATTCTGGTAGCCTAGTAGTAACAAGCTGCACTGTAATTCAGAAGACATGTGGTTTGAATCTGCCAGCTCCTATGCAGGAGAAAGATGGGCAGTCTCATTCCACACAATTTCCTGCCTCTGAAAACCTGCTGGAAGGTCAGTTTCTACACAATGGTACACAATGACAGGGAAGACCTAGCAAGCTGCTTCTGAAGTCATAGCCTGAAAACTCATCTGGAATACAGCTGACAATTAGGTAATTGGTCAACAATAGTTGGAATCAATGGCAACTGGCTTGGTTTTGGTTTTTGGCCATCAAAATAAAGGTGAGCATAGTATCTAACACTTAGGGTTGTTTTGTAAAGATTTTTAAATGTATAAGCCATCGTGTTAGTACTTAATAAGGAAACTAGCCATTTTTACACTCGTTCAGTGTATGATTTGTGAATCCTCTCTTTTGTGGTTAATTGCCCCTTGAATCTGCTTCTGACTCATAAGCTCATGTGTTATAGAGGTAGAGTTACTTTGTAGGTTTTCTCAGCTACAGTCCTTTTAAAAGCAGATCACCAAGCCTTTCTTCCACAGAACTGGAGGGTGGGTTCAAACTATCTCTTGGTAGACATTTCCAATTGAATAGTTTATATGCATTTCCAACTTAATAGGTTTGAAATGATATATACCATCTCTTCCTCTATAACTGAACTTCTATTGTTTGTTTCAACATTAATGACACTTTTCAACTCTTACTCATGCTGCCTCTAACCTTTCAGTAATTTTGGGCTCCATACATCATCTTTTCCTCCCTTCCCTTTTATTCACATACCATTCAGGATCCACTTAAATATATTTAAATGGCTGCTATATTGTAGGCCCTCTGTCAAATGCCAAATCCTATTGCTTTTTTTTCCTTTTTTTATTTTATTATTTTTGTGTGCGTGTACCGTTAAATCAGATCTGACTGGTACTGGAGGAGATTGTCCCTCCTTCCCCGGCAGAGCATCTGGTGGATTCGAACCGTGCGCCTCTGGGATTGTAGTTGCAGCTCCTTACCACTAGGCCACCAGAGCTCCCCATCCTATTGCTTTTTATCTCTACAATTTACACTCATCCTTTCCTTTCCATTTCTATTAGTATGAGTAAAATCATACATGTCTCTTATATATTCCTACATTTAGAACAGTCGATTCAAATATAACTAATTGATTTTCTTTAGGCAAGGTTCTGCTGATATGCCTTCTCTTGAAAATTTGCAACAACTAGGAGAGAGCTGAGCCATTAAGAGATGGAGACGGAAAGGGGAATGTGAATTCACTTTGGTAGGTATTGAATTACATGCATGTATTAGTTCATTATTCATTTTAAAAGTAAATAAAAATGTAACTAAAAACATCACAGTGATTGTCCAACAAAGTCTAAATGGAGTTGTTTGGATTTTTTAAAAATAATTTATAGGGAGCTCTGGTGGTCTAGTGGCAAGAAGCTGTGCTGCATTCCCCAAGCTGTGTGGCTCAAATCCATCAGATACCCCTCTGGAGAAGGAGGGGCAATCTCCTCCTATGCCAGTCTGATCTGATTAGACAGTACAGAACAAGGGAGGAAAAAAATGTATTGGTTTGCATGCAATAATTTGTTTACATTGTTTCATTCATGTGCATTATGCTTTATACAATCAATCATTCATATACATTGTTTCACTCATGTACACTGTCTATGGCTAATATCACTCTGTATCTTTAAGTTTTGTTGCATCTTTCCCATTTCTTCACCCCCTCTGTCTGCCCCCTAACCTCTGCTATCTTGGTGGTTTTCCTCTACTCTGTTCTTGCACCCTTCTCTCTTTGACCTTTTGAACATTTATAAATATCTTGTTAGTTATCCTCCTGTTTTCACATTAATGGTCTTACGCAGTATTTGACCTTATGTTACTGAGTCATTTCACTCAGCATAATGCTGTCTAGACTCTCCTATGTTGTATAGTATTTTTATGAAATTGTTGTTCCTTACAAATATAGTTTTGCATCAAAGCCCTTCATGATCTTTGTCCAACTTAGATTTTTTTCAGTGATATTTCTTGTTAGTCCCTTTTGCTTCAACTACACTGATTCCATATGTTACTTACTATATTTGGGACTCACTTAGAGAGCTTGTTGAGAAGATATATTCTCAGACTCTACATAATATCTAGGATCTTTGGGAGATTTGACTAATAATGTAAAAAGATTGAGGTTTTGAGTCTGCCATAAGGCACGTTGGAAGAAAGGCTGGGCAGTCTGCTTTTGGGAAAAATCAACAAGTAAAAGCTCTATGGAACACAATTTCACCTTAACACATATGCGGTTACTGAAACTAGTGTGATGTACCTGCTGATGTACTGCCTCAAAATGACAGTTTTCAGAGAAAGGGCATGAGAATTTACCTCTTGGCAGTCTGAAGAGCTTTTCTTCATACTTATTCAATCTGTACACTAAGCAAATCATTTGAGAAACAAGTTTATATGAAGTAATAGAATGTAGTATCAGGATTGGAGGGAGATTCAATAACAACCATTGTTATGCAGGGAGGTGAAGAGGACTTGAAGTGCTTACTAACAGCCCTCAATATGGATCTCAACATCAAGGGAAAATATCGTTGCTACTGAACCAAAAGCAACATCATGATATGTGGAGAAGAGATCGAAGTTGTCAATATTTCATTTTTCTTGGATCCACAATCAATCCCCATGGTGGCAGCAATAAAGAAAACAAAAGATCCATTGAGAAAATCTGCTGTCAAGGATTTCTTCAAAATGCTAATGAGTGAGTATATCAATTGAGAGATTAAGGTGCGCCTGACCCAAATCATTGTTTTTTTTTAAATTGCTTCCTAGGGGAGCTCTGGTGGCCTAGTGGCAAGGAACTGCAACTGCAATCCCAGAGGTGCATGGTTGGAATCCACCAGATGCTCTGCCGGGGAAGGAGGGACAATCTCCTCTTGTAACAGTCAGATCTGATTTGATGGTACACTCACACAAAAAAATAATAAAAAAAAAAATTTAAAAAAAATTAAAATTGCTTCCTGTGCACCTTGGTACCAGAAGTCAGATAATCAAGAGACATATTACACTGGGCATGTCTGCTGTCAAGGGACCTCTCCAAATTACTGAAAAGCAATAATGTCAGTTTGAAGACTAAAGTGTGCTTGACTCAGGTCATGGTCTTTTCAGTCACTTGCTATGCATCTGAAAGCTAGCCGATGAATAAAAATGACAGAAGAAAAGCTGATGCCTTTGAACTGTGATGTTGGAGATGAGTACTTAATATCCCATGGAGTGCCAAAAGAACCAACAACAGATGTGTCTTGGAAAAGGGACAACCAGGATGCTCCTTGGAAGCAAGGAAGATGAAAGCTTTTTCTCACATACTTTGGACATGTTGCTGGGAGAGGCTA